CAGGGAGGTAACTGAACAACCACAACACACAATACCTGAGCATTGAACGACCACAATACACAATACCTGAGCATTGAACGACCACTACACACAATACCTGAGCACTGAACGACCACAACACACAATACCTGAGCATTGAACGACCACTACACACAATACCTGAGCACTGAACGACCACAATACACAATACCTGAGCACTGAACGACCACAACACACAATACCTGAGCACTGAACGACCACAACACACAATACCTGAGCACTGAACGACCACAACACACAATACCTGAGCACTGAACGACCACAATACACAATACCTGAGCACTGAACGACCACTACACACAATACCTGAGCACTGAACGACCACAACACACAATACCTGAACAACCACAATACACAATACCTGAGCATTGAACGACCACAACACACAATACCTGAGCATTGAACGACCACTACACATAATACCTGAGCACTGAACGACCACAATACACAATACCTGAGCAGTGAACGACCACAACACACAATACCTGAGCACTGAACGACCACAACACACAATACCTGAGCACTGAACGACCACAATACACAATACCTGAGCAGTGAACGACCACAACACACAATACCTGAGCATTGAACGACCACAATACACAATACCTGAGCACTGAACGACCACAACACACAATACCTGAGCACTGAACGACCACAGGAGCTCAATAGGTTATATTAATAATCCATTGGGCAGAATATCTAACACCTCGCGTTCACCTCAGTGGTCTTAAACTTGAATACAATACTGGCAAGAACTGTACGTGGTCTGTTATTGTGATTGTGTTTTTTATGGTAATTATTGTTGTTATTGTTGGTGGTGATGTTATTATTATTAGTTTTCTTCTTTCTTTCTATTTCCTTCTTTCTTTCTTTTTCTTTGTTTCTTCCTTCTACTTTCATTTTCTTCTTCTTGTTTCTTGCTTCTTCTTCTTTACTTCTTCTTGTTTCTTCTTGTTTCTTCTTCTTTTTTCTTCTTCTTTTTTCTTCTTCTTCTTCTTGTTGTTTCTTCTTCTTTAAGTCTTCTTTCTTCATTCATCTTTTTCTTCTTTTGCTACGTTCTTCTTTACTTTATTAAAATATTATCAATATCTCTTAACACAAATTAGAATAAGAATTCAGTAGTTGTTTACGCTAGCTTGACTAACTTACATTTTCCACCGCCCGCGTCTCGATGGTTGCATTTTTTGTCTATGGCATCGACGGCGGATATGTGAGATTTTGACCACAAGTAAGGAAGTGAAGGGAATTTTATCGTTGTTTTTTTTTTCCCCTTGCGATTACTCGTGGGGGAAATATGTATAATTTTGTTTTCTATCTGTTTTGCATATGTAGCTGCCTTGCTGTTTTTCTGTCTATAACCATCTGTGTGTCTGCTGTTTATCCCTCTGTTAGTCTATTTGTCTGTTGTTCAATCTGTTTTTTGTCTGTTTGTCTGTGAATGTCTTTTTAGTACATATATACTTCCTTCTCTCTCTTTCTTTTTTTTTCTCTCTCTCTCTCTCTCTCTCTCTCTCTCTCTCTCTCTCTCTCTCTCTCTCTCTCCAAAGACAAACCACATCACATGAACCTCGTGACACTGATATACACACCCTTACCATCAAGACGGACTACCCACCACGTAAATTGCATGCTGGCGGTGTCGTTGCAAAATATAACAGTGGAGAGTTGCAATCAGACGCTTCAAGAATAATTCATTGCCTTCGATCGCCGATGAAATATGGATCTAACTTCTGCTTTCTAAATACAAAAAATATTTTATGATCGTTCTCAGAATCAGGAATTTCGTTCAGTACAAGAGTAAATATTCAAGTATGGAGTTTGGTTAGAAATAAATAGCTGGAAAGGTTATTATGGTACATTAATGTTATTCAGTTTCTTGTAATGTGTGTTCAGTATGTCTTCAGTTTAATTTTTAAGTGTGCATTTAGATTAAGTTCTGGTTAGTTGTTTGCATACTTGAGCCCTTGATATGAAACCATACATACTAAACTATGAATATGTATACTTGCATTAAATCTCTATATATTTATACCCTCACACTGAATTCTATATACAACTTCTCACACTAAATTCTATACATGTCTCTTCATACCAAAAACTACACACACACACTACTGCACCATCCTCGTCATCGCCACCTACTGCCACCTGCAGTCCCTCGCCCGCCTCGCGCAGTCCGCCACTACAACAAAATTCAGCCCATAAGAGCCCGCACTGATAGATATAAGAACAGCACCATCCCACCTAGTGTTAAAATAATAATCAGCTCCTGATTTATGTACTGTACAGCCCTGTAAATGTATTGAACGTATATCATTATGTCTAAATCACATGTAAGTTTGTATATTTTCAGCCGCCGGCTGCAACTCTATAAATAAACCCTTTATTATTATTATTATTATTAATTATTATTATTACACACACACACACACACACACACACACACACACACACACACACACACACACAATCCCTCTCTAGTTCCTTTGTGGTAATATATCAATGTTTCCCTAAGTTTCGTAAATCCATTGTTATTTCCTTTTGCTACTAGAATAATCACGATGTTATCTTTGGATGTCAGTTTATTAAATAGCATATATATATATATATATATATATTTTCTACTTCTGTCATGCTACATTATCATGCATATTATACATGTTATATATACATTATAGATATTATACATGTTATATATACTTTATACATATTATATAAGGAGCTGGTTGGGATCCGATGACTCACAGAGATGGGAATTTCAGAGGTTGAAAAGGCTTAACATTCTTAAAATTTGTGTTATCGACCTTGAAGGACTGTAGCTTAAACCATCATCCTTGAGGAGTCATGACTTAAACTATTATCCTCAAAGAATTAACCCTTCAAGGACGATAATCTAAATATTATCCATTGGGAGTTAAACCATCGTCTTCTAACCATTACCGAACAGTTACCATCAATATTAAAAGAGCAACATTAACCCCTTGTGTACAGGAGTTTATGACGTTAACCAAATGAAACACTAAAAATGGCGTCCTCAGGAGTGAAAGGGGTTGAGTGAACTATATTTAAAGGCTCCTTCATTAGTTTAGGTTTTTAAATATATCAATAGAACTATACAGAAATATTAGACAATGTGTGATTATGTTATGTGAAGTAATGTTGTTTTAAGTGAATTTACGATGGATTTGACTGTGTATTTTGCCTTTAGTAATTTTCTCCATCCATCCATCCATCCATCCATCCCAGAACACAACTCTCCACTGCTTTAGGTAGAGACAGATAGGAAAATAGCTAGATAGACAAATAGACCGATTCCAAAACATAATATAAAGGAAACGAAAACTAATTTATGGAATGGCTATCATGCATAGGACTTACTTAATTAATAATATTGCTAAATGTTACACATTTACAAACATAACCATTTTAGGCGATAGTTCCTCTTTAGATAATTGGTTTAATTATACGGTTGAGAATGTTATCTACCCACCCAAGTGAATTATTAGGAAAAAAAAAAAAAAAAAAAAAATATATATATATATATATATATATATATATATATATATATATATATATATATATATATATATATATATATATATATATATATATATATATATATATATATATATATATATATATATATATATATATATATATATATATATTCGTTGGGAAAATAATTTTAACCAAGAATTTATGAAATTTAGGGAAAATATTAAAAAAATGGGGTAAATTGATTTTTTTATATACTGTATAGGAATATAAATTGAGATAAAATTGTTGGAATATATTTTGTGACATGAAAAAATTCAATTTACTTTTGATAATTGTATCTCTGTCTATCTGTGTCTCTCTGCCTGTGTCTGTCTGTCTGTCTGTCTGTGTGTCTGTCTGCCTGTGTCTGTGTGTCTGTCTGTCTGTCTGTCTGTCTGTCTGTCTGTGTGTCTGTCTGTCTGTGTCTGTCTGTCTGTCTGTCTGTGTCTTCCTTACATTGAATTGAATATATCTTTAAAATTAAATGAATAACAAAAGAAGTGATGATAATAGCAACAAAAATACTAATCCTCTCAATAATACTGACACAATAATGATAAAACCAAGAGTAATAATTCCAAGAACAATAACTAATAAGAACAATATTGTCGTCTTAATTTCTGTCGTGGAATTATGGAACCTCTTTCGACAATAAATTTTTACATTGCCATTTAGAAATCACTAGGATATTTGCTTCCAGTACAGTCAAGTCCCCCGGTGCTCGGCCCTCTACTCCGCAAACAAAAACTTCAGTATTATCTCACAAACACCATCCTATATTAGACTGTTAGGGTGTGGTAGGGTATTACAGTGGTAGGAACAATATTGCAGGATACAGTGGTCGTGGGTACAAGGGTGTGGTCGGGGATTACAATGGTAGGAACATTAGAACAGGATACAGTGGTCGTTACAAGGGTGTGGTAGGGTATTACAGTGGTAGGAACAATATTGCAGGATACAGTGGTCGTGGGTACAAGGGCGTGGCAGGCTAATACAGTGGTAGGAACACTAGTACAGAATATGAAGGTCACGAATCAATACTAAAATAGGAAAATCCTCATTTATTTTTCTTATTCAATTTTTTTAACAAAATAAAAAAAAATAATTCTTCTGTGTACAACAAAATGTGTAAAAAAAATCTAACAATATGGATTTTTTTTTTAATACATGACCAAAATATAAACATTAAATAGATGGAATAAGATTAGTTAGTAAAAACAAAGAGGATAGATAGATAGATAGATAGATAGAGACATACATAGATATAAAAAAGATATATTGTAAAGACATAAATTGAGAGAAGGAGATTGATGAACAGAGGAACCGAGAGAGAAAAATAAAACCAACTATAAAACAATATTAACAAACAATAAAACTAAACCAAGGGATAAACTCATAAAAAAATATATTGTCTGTCTTACCTGATAAAGAAGTTTAGTACAATCGAGGTGTAGAAGAGTCGACACAATGTATTAAAAAAAAATGCTCCAATAGTCTTCCTTCTTCTTTCTCTGTTTCTTATCGCCACACAAGTTTATAACAGTCGCACTATGTCATTATTAATGTTTCTCAGTTAAGGTAAAAAAAAAAAAACCTCAGGTAGTAACACTTTTAAAAAAATTGATAGATAATTGTTTTTTTTTTAAGTCTTTGAGAGTTTTTTTTTTCAAGTATTGTTCCAATGTTTTTAATCAGCCACACCCTCAGTCGTTTTGTATGTGGGTGTGTTCTGTTCTTTCAAACCTTTAGTTGATATTTTGTTAGTTTTTTCATTTTTTTTTTACTCTCTACCCCTAAAAAAAACACTTGGGTTTTTTTTTATCAATTATTTTTTCTGCTGGAACGAGGAAGGTGGGTTTTAATCCTTGAGTACCAAGTGTCAGTGTAGTGAATAATATATATTCATATTTTGAGTACGAAGTGTTAGTACAGTAAGATATCTTAACCCTTGAGTACGATGCCAACCACCTGAATACTTTGAGTACGATGAAGTGATAACTTGAATATACTGGCTTAACCCCTCGAATACGATGCCTTAACCCCTTGAGTACGATAACTTAACCCCTTGAATACGATAACTTAACCCCTTGAGTATGATAACTTAACCTCTTGAATACGACGATTTAACCCCTTTAATATTGAGACTTAACCCTTGAATATCGGGACTTAACCCCTTGAATACGGAGACTTAACCCCTTGAAGGGGTCAAGTCAGAGTCCTTAAAGAAAAAAAATCACCGTACTCAAAGTGGTTAATAACAATCACCCAGTTATTTCACATTTACCTCGTTATAACTAAAGTAGTGTATACGTTATTTCTCTCCAGCTTACGTCAACGAATTTGCTAATGAATGAGCGAGCGAGCGAGCGAGCGAGTGACGTAATAGGCGGAAAACCTGAGGAGATAAAAATTAAATACCAGTTTGTGATTAATTCTGTTCCTCTTAATTCTTTGTCGGGAGAATTACGTAACCAGTTAATCAATATGGCCAAATATTAGCCTCTGACATGGCGCAAAATAAAATAAAAAATCTGAATAAAAAACGGAAAAAAAAAACCAAGTTGAAAGACGATATAATATGGATTAACTGTTTTCTCAGCCCTATATAACAGGTAAGAAAAATTAAGTTACCTGGAGGTTAATTAATCATTTAGTACACTCTCTGATAGGTAGGATGGACGGACATACAGACATACATGCTCATCAAATCACAACCATTTTAATACACCCACAACATATATTCATACACATCAGTTGTGGCTAGTGATGTGAAATGGCTTCAATAATTTAAAGAGGATTTTTTTTATAAGCTCACAGACTCACGGACAGACGGGCGGACACACAGATATTACTCATTCATACATTCTATTTGTTACCAGTAGTGTGAAATTCTATTGAACACTGTTGGGTCACTTGCCTTTATAAAGTTATGAGTCGAAACAGACAGAGAGACAGATAGACAGACAGAGAGACAGACAGATAAACAAAATATACACATTAACTGATTGCTTCAGCTCACGTTGTGTTTGGTTAGGATAATTGCTATTTGGTTAAGTATAGATTAAGTTGGAGGTAAGTTAGTTAACGTTTTAGATAGGTCAGGTAAGGTCGATTCGGGTCAGGTGAGGTGAGGTCAGGTCAGGTAAGCTAAGTTAGGATAGCTTAGGTTAAGTTAGGTGTGATATGGTTAGGTTAGGGCAGGTTAGGTTTGGATAGGGTTAAGTTATGTTAAAGAATTGGTGAATCTAGTATTTGCATTTTATCAATATTGAGCAACTTACTGATTTTATTCATCATGAGAGTAGCATATACATTAGTTGAGTCTACAGCTCTATATTCCCACGCACTCACCCCCTCACGCACTCACCCTTTCACTCTCTCACCCCTTCACTCACTCACCCCTTCATGCACTCGCCTCCTCACGTACCCACCCCTCAGTCAGTCACCCCTCACGCCTCCCACCCCTCATGCACTCACCTTTCACTCTCTCACCTTCACCTCACCTTCACTCACTCACCCCTTCATGCACTCGCCTCCTCCACCCCACCCCTCAGTCAGTCACCCCTCACACCTCACCCTCATGCACACTCACCCTTTCACTCTCTCACCCCTTCACGCACTCACCCCTTCACTCACTCACCCCTTCATGCACTCGCCTCCTCACGCACCCACCCCTCAGTCAGTCACCCCCTCACGCACTCACTTCCTGACAAAGAATAAAATAATTTTCCATGGCATAGAGTATTTCGGAGGGTTTGTTTCAGGTGTGTTTTGTGTTCCATATGTGTTTTTATAGTGTGTTTAGTTACATAAGTGATTTTATTACATATGTGTTTTTATTACATATACGTTTTTGCTACTATGTTTTTGTTACATATGTGCTTTCGTTACCTATGTGTTAAATAGTGCATACTGTAACGACTTGTAAAATGTTCCATAAAGCTGTAATAGACGTGGATGGCTGGTGATACCTCGTGAGGGAAAGGTGAGAATAGGTGTGATTATGGGAGAGTGTGAGTGTATGAGGTATAGTTGTGAGAGTGTAGTGTAAGTGTGAGAGTGTGTGAGAGTGTAGAGTGTAAGTGTGTGGGGGTGTAAAGTGTGTGAGGTGTGGTGTATGAGGTGTAAGTGTGTGTGAGAGTGTAAAGTGTGTGAGGGGGTGTAAGTGTGTGAGGGGTGTAAGTGTGTGGGGAGTGTAAGCGTGTGAGAGTGTGCTGTAGTGTGTGAGGGGGTGCAAGTGTGTGAGGAAGTGTAAGTGTGTGAGGAGGTGAGGTGTGGTGAGTAGAGAATGGGGATTGAGAGAGAGAGAGAGAGAGAGAGAGAGAGAGAGAGAGTATTGAAGCTGGTCAGGAGAGAGTGAAGTGTTTATAACATTGGTGGGAGGTCGCGTAGCCCTGGTGAAAGAACTCGTCACCAAGGAAAGGTTAGCGTCTGTGTGATCCGTTCTCACGGCATCCACTAGTTACACACTCCACGGCGCATGGTGATTTACTGGTGAATGGCTCCGACACTTGATACAGTATAGGAAGATTACACAACGATATTGGATTTATCAGAGAGTTAGATATAGTTAACCTAACCTAACCTGACCTGACCTAACCTAACCTGAGCTAAGGATGGCAGCGGAAGGAAGAAATTTGCAGGAAGGGAATCTAAGGAAGAAAGGAAGGAACAAGGAAGGCAGTCTAAGGAAGGAAGGAAGTACAAGGAAGGAAAGAATCACAAGGAAGGAAGGAAGCGTAAGGAAGCACAGGGAAAGGTAGTCTAAGGGAGGAAGGAAGGAAGGAAGGAAGGAAGGAAGGAAGGAAGGAAGAAAGGATAAGGAAGCATAAAGAAGCACAAGGAAGACAGCACCAGCGAGGAACACTCTACAAAAATCCCGATATCTTCGTATAAAACAGATTTTAGAGGCTCCCGATATCACCAGAAAAAAACAGATTTCAGAGGCTTCCGATATCTCCGTATAAACCCGATTTTCGAGGCTCCCGATATCTCGGTATAAACGTTGATTACAAGCTCCGCGATGTCGTCAGACAAAATGAGAATCATCTGGTGAGTTTAATTAATTTCTGAAGACTTAAATCGGCGTCGTCTTCTTCTTTAATATATATTCCAATATTCCACTAATGATGCGAGTTATCGAAAGGCAGGATATCTGGTAGAGCTGATTTAAAACTCCCCTTAATATCCCTTTAAAAGTAGAAGTTAATCTGATATCGGTTTATAAAGTCAATGTAAATATAAAAAAAAATATAAAAATCAAGAAAAACAAAACGAGTTGGATAATCGGGATGTTTCGGGGTGTATGTGTTATCGGAAGGTGATAAAAATCCGTAAAAGAGGTGTAAAAAACATAACAAAAGCTGTAAATAAGAGGAAGTTGTCTTTTTTATCGTCAAAAGGGCAATAAAATGTGAAATAAACCAGAGATAAAACAACAATAAAACCCCACAATAGCTAGGGGATGGATACGCCATTAACAGGTAATAAAAATAACGTTAAAAAGTTTCCCTGAATCAATAAAATTCCCCCAAAAGTGAGAAAAAAGTGTGTGTGTGTGTGTGTGTGTGTGTGTGTGTGTTATCAAAATGTAATATAAATGTGTTTCAATAAATTCCAAAGACCAAATAAAAATCGCATTAATTGAGGAATCAGTGTTATCGTAGTTATCGCGTGATATAGATAACAGGCTCATCGATAACTCACTGTCATACTTCTTCCTGTGTGTTCAAAATTCCTCATCAACAAAATAAGGTCTTTTTTCATGAGTATTATTAGTTCTTCATTATTTTTCTCTATAGTTACCTGCTATAAAATGTTTAAGTGTATATGTAAGTGTTTAAGTGTACATAGAGATGTTGAAATGTATTGTAAGTATTTAAGTATACTCGTAAGTGTATAATTCCAGGATAAGGTGAGGCAGTATAAGAATATGTATAAATGTTTTGGAGTTTATAAGTGTCTTTGGAAGGGATTATAAGTAACTTTAATATTCTTACTTTACGACATTCAGTAAAATATTAAGGAAGGATTATCGATTGGTTAATTCCTTACTGTAAGCCTCAACTTTATTTTGTACAATATTATATGTGTGATTAGTATTAATGTTCTGAATATATGTATAATATGACTTTATTTAACTATATCCAGTACTATTTATACTTAAGATATATTCACTATGGTGTATATATAAACTACAGAACGAAAGAGTATATACAGTATATTGCATAAATGTAATTAAAACCGCATCTCCCCATCCCCCAAATTACCAGATAAATATTAAATAAAAAACAATAATCTCTATAGCGCAACTTTCTTGTCAAGTTTGTCTTTTGTTTTAATTTGTATTTTTTCAGTGTTTATACCACATTATCAACACACATATACCGACTGTGAGTGCGTAATAACATACAGGAACACTGTCATGAACCAGATCATAATAGCAAAACTTCACCAACAAATTCTATAAAGTTGATCTTCATGACAATTAGGAAACGTAAGGAAATGTAAATAATTTTCACTTTTGTATGACGGCCACCAGTCTAGTGCCGTCCGTCCCAAACGTCCCTTTCTTATAGTTTTTCCTCTCCCTCTCACACTCGCTCACTGACCACCACCACCACCACCCCTCTCACTCCCTCTCCCGCTCTCTCTCCCGGCCGGTGTTACCCACCTCCGAGCCAGACCCGGACTGGCTCTCCCCGGCTACTGCACGTCTGTATGTGTGTTGGTGGCGGAGTTCGAAGAGGCGGTGGAGTAGGCGGGACCTCGCATGCGCACCCTACACTCAACACTCCACACGAAATCTCCGATAACATTCTCAAGCTCTCTACGGATGAGCTGGGTAGATAGATC